AGGGTTTGTGTTGAAAAGTCTGCTGTGATTCTGATGGGCTTTCCTTTGCATGTGATTTGTTTCTTTTCTCTTACTGCTTGTAGTATTTTGTTCTTCTGTTGGGTTTCTGGGATCTTGATTATTATATGTCTAGGTGTAGATTTTTTTTGATTTTAGCTAGTTGGGGTCCTATATGCCTCAGTTATCTGAATGTCAAATTCTTCCCCTCTGTTTGGGAAGTTTTCTGTCATTAATTCTGCAAACAGCTTTTTTAAGTCATTTGTATTTTCTCCTGCTGCTTCATGTATTACTATCAGTCTTATGTTATTCTTCTTTGCATCATCTAGGAGTTGTTGGATCGATTTCTCATGATCTCTTACTGTTTTTAAGAGGCCTCTCTTTTCATGGTCACTGACTGCAATCTTATCTTCTATATCTGAGAGTCTATCTTCACATTCTTTTATTCTGTTATGTACACTTTCAATGGTGTGTTTAATCTCTTGGATATCTGTTTGAATCTGTTTTATGGATTCCATTTCTTTCCTATGTTGGGCGTTTATTTTTTCCATTTCTTTCTTATGCTGGGCCTTCATGGCTTCTATCATGGTCCTGAGCTCATCTATTTTTTTGTCAGTTTCTGCTCTAGAGTCTCGAATCACGACTTCCATTTTGCCCACTATCTCTATGGTTATATGGGAAATTATTTCTGTTTTGAATTTTTCTACAGCCTGATTGATCTGTTTTGTTACTTCCTGTGCTTTGAGTTCAGGGTGTCCTGGTGGTTCACTATCGGCCTTTTCATCCTCACTTGCCCTACTGTTTGCCATTGGTAAACTGGAAGTCTGTTCTTGTGTCTTGCTTAAGTGTTTTCTCATTTTTATTTTTGTTGTGGGACTGTCCTTGGTTTAATCTCTGGATTATCACCCAAATCTTCCTGATATAGTTGCGCCCTAGCTTCTGTGTCTCTAATGACCCACAGGCATTCTCATCTTCATAACATCAGAGAAAACAGCTCATCAAATCAACGGCAATGCTTTACCCCAGCTGATACAATAAGCAACACATTAAGACACTGACCACCAGTGGTAGTCACTAGTCTATCACCCTTAAATCATTTGAATTAAATTGAAATCAAGAAGCAGTCCAGAACATGTCTGCAGTGAACAAAATTTCAATATAGTGTATTTACCATTTAATCGCTCAGACAGAGGGAGGATGCAAGACCCCTGATCTCAGTTAGCTGATGGCTGAACCCCATGACGCTGACTGACCTCAGGCTGCAAGGCCCAGATTGAGTTCCCCAACCTTCTGAATGGTTGAACTCCACAATGTTCTATTACAGGTTTCCCACGCCCTTTCTTTAAAGATGTTCAAAGTTGGGAACTCAGAGAAATACCCTTGATGACCACCTCTGCCTCTGCAGAGTGGGTCCAAAGACTGGCACAGGAGGTCTGAGAGTGCGGGGGGGGCTTATGGGGGTTCAGGGGCGCCTGCGTGGCTACCTTTCCAGCACTTGAGCGATGGCGACTGGGTCGGGAGCAGGCGTGGATCTCCTTCCCAAGGTGGATGGGGGCTCAGGCTGCCTCTCGGTGCTTCAATTCTGTAATTTTTTAATGTCTTGAGAAGTCTGAAAATGATTTCCTTTTTGAGAAAAATATTGAACTTGATCATTCACTACTGATAGGTTGACTCTATCTCATTTTGATATTCTTTGTGAATGCCCAACATTGTGAGGGCCCAAAGGACTGTCTCTTTTGCCAATACATCAGCAGAAGTGAAATTGCTCCAGGGACTCTTCTGAGGGGCCTGTTCAAATGGCCTGGGTACAAGACACCAAGGCATAAACAGAACTGAAAACTCCCTGGATCTAATTTTCAAAGACACAATCTACATTGGAAGAGGAAGTCAGATTATAAGTATACCACTGATAATTCCACTGGCTGGCTTCCATTACAAATGAAATACAAGTTGCTATTATGTGTGAGGGACTGCTCCACTGATTATGCCCAGTGCAGGCTGTAAGGAGTTAACCCCACAGTTGGGCTTGTCTTGAGAAGTGAGTCCAGCCAGAGCCCATGTGACCAAATAACATGGCAGCCAAGGTCAGAGTGACTCAGACTCAAATTCCATTCCCCAAATTAAGAATGCTTTGGTCTTCTCGTACAAGCCTTGCCTTCATCAGGAATGTATCCCTAGCAACAACACATAGCCCTCTCACCCTAACCTATAATGTCACCAAGAAATATCAGCAGCTTTGGCTGTCTAAGGTCTTTTGCTGCTTGCCCGGCACTGGCCATTCTGGCTCCCCATTTTCCCCTTTAATTCTTTTCTTCTTATATGTGCCATAGCACTGAGCAGGAGGCCAGAACCCGTCACAGGGGTCTCCGATAATTATGAGTGAGCTTGAACAGAGTGGGGAGAAGAAAAGCAGAATGAACAAGTATGGCAGGATGGGAGGAAAGGAGGTGAGGTAGGAGGGAGAATGAGACTGAGGGGAGGACTTTTAACTAACAGAATATTCATCAAAATGTTCTTTATACAGTGGTGAAGGAAAATAGAAGGAATAAGTGCTAATATTGTATGGGTTGACAAAGAATGGCTGCTATCAAGAAATCACACAATAACAAATGTTGGTGGGGTTGAGGGGAGAAAGGAACCCTTCTCCATTGTTGGTGGGAGTGCAGACTGGTGCAACCACTATGGAAATCAATATGGAGATACCTCAAAGAGCTTGGACTGGAGGTTCCATTTGACCCAGCCATCCCTCTGCTGGGTATCTTTCCAAGAGAACTTAAAGAATCATATCACAGAGAAGTATGTGCACCCATGTGTATAGCGGCACAGTTTGTAATAGCTAAATCTTGGAAACAGTCCATTTACCCATCAGTTGGAAACTGGATAAAGGAGATGTGGTTTTTCTATAAAATGGAATATTACTCAGCCTTAAAGAGTGAGAAAATAGATTCATTCATAGGAAAATGGATACATGTTAAAGATATACTCCTAAATGAAATAAATAAGTCACACATGTGTAAATACTGAATAGTTTCCTTGGTGTGAATAATCTGCAATAAAACATAAGATCCTAATAAGATTATGGTCATTTAGAAATGAGAAGAAAGGAGCTAAAGGTGTAGGGAAGGTGGGATGGGTAGGGGAAGGGTAATAAAGGAAAAGAAAAAAATGTGAGATAATGAAAAGATGAAAATAAAGTGTTTGTAGAAGGGGAGGGGAGAGGTGGTGAAGGGAGGGTAGGGGTAAGGGGAAAAAATGAGAATCAAGACTTGTCATGTAGAGGTACAAGATCCCAACAATGAATGTAGCTGTACTGTATCCCTAAAATGTGCCAATAAACTCAATTAAAGCTGAAAAAAAAAATTCTGCTAAAGCAAAAAAAAAAATGTTCTTTATACAGTGGTGAAGGCAAATAGAAGGAATAATTGTTAATATTGTATGGGATGATAGTGTAACTATGGATGACAAGAATTAATTTTATAATAGTTAAAGGTGATTATTTTGAGTATTTCCAAAGCAAGAAATGATAAATATATGAACTCATAGAAATGTCAATGATATTAGTTGGATCGTTATACATTGTATATATGCACAGAAATGTCACTCTGTGCCCCATGTATATGTAATTTACTAGAGATGAAGGAGGGGGATAAAGAAAAAAAAAGGAGGTGATTTTCACCTTAAAAAAAGAGTCAAAATGTCCTTATGTTTAACATGGTTTGTCTTTCACGTTGCACAAGCTCATGAAACTACTGGATTAACTTCCATGCTGTTCAGTAGACTATGTAAGCTCTGTCTGGAACATTACAGCAGGATAAAAGGGCACTTTCATTATTAACTAGAGGCACAGCAGCAATGACATAAAGTCCTTATGTTTGCTTCTGCAACTGTCAACTCTCCCACTGAAGTCTAACTCTATTTCCAAAACTCACAGCCATCTAACATCCACTTCTTATTACTTTCCCATCCCCGAGTTTGCCTTTCTGCCCCACAATTTCCTGATGGCGATTTTCACCTCCATGTTTCTGAGTGTGTAGACGATGGGGTTCAGCACGGGAGTAAAGACTGTGAAAAACACAGCCACCAGCTTGTCCTCGGTGTAGGTGGAGGCAGGACGCACATAGAGGAAGGTGGCGGGTCCAAAAAACAAGACGACCACCGTGATGTGAGCGGCGCAGGTGGAGAGGGCCTTGCGCCTCCCCTCCGCAGAATGGTTCCTCAGGCTGAGCAGGATGACGATGTAGGAACACAGCAAGGTGAGGAAGGCAAAGAGGGAGATTAATCCACTGTTGACCAGCACGATAATCCCCTCCACAGAGGTGTCGGTGCAGGCCAGCTTGAATAAGGGGTGGAGGTCACAGAAGTAGTGGTCAATCACATTGGGGCCACAGAAGGGCAGCGGGATGGTGATGAGAATCTGAATGAGGGCGTGAAGAAAGCCCCCCAGCCACGTACCAGTCACTAGGCCATGACACAGTTGACGTCTCATCGTGCTCATATAATGCAGAGGCTTGCAGATGGCCACGTAGCGGTCATAGGCCATCACCACCAGCAGGAGAATCTCAACAACAGCAAAGAAGTGGAGGCAGAAAATCTGCACCAGGCAGCCCTGGAAGGAGATGGTTTTGACCTCGACAAGAAGGTCAGTGAGAAATTTAGGCACCACAGTGGAGGAGTAGCAGATCTCCACCAGGGACAGGTAGCCCAGGAAGAAGTACATGGGGGAGCGCAGGCTCTGACTGACACTGACCGTCAGGACGATGAGGCCGTTGCCCAGCAGCGTGGCCAGGTAGACGGGCAGGAAGAGCACAAAACACGCTCTCTGCACCTCTGCACCCCGGAAAAGCCCAGTGATGACCAGCTCGGTCACATTTTCTGTGCCGGCCATGGACACAGCTCAGGGGTGCTGGATGTTAGGTGGTAAGAGGCCTGCAACAAACAGACAAAGCTTGTAACACCAATTTATTTCATTTTTAGCCCTTTTAGGCTGTTTACCAGGTAGTATTCAATCATTCATTTACCTAGTATGGACTCTTTCAGCACCAAATATTAACAATACAAGGCTCTGTATTATCTAAATTTGTTTAATTTCATTATTAGAAAATGGAGGCTCTGAAAAGCCCGGTGATGACCAGCTCGGTCACTTTATATGCGCCGGCCATGACTCAGCTCAGGGGTGCTGGACGCCAGGAGTCTCGAGTCTGCAAAACCACAAACAGTGACTGTAACACCAATTCACTCTGTAAGTGTAAACGGACGCACAATATGTTTATGACTTGATCATTCCTTTGCCATTGCATACTCGCTCAGCATCAACTATTAACAATCTAACACTTTATATTATTTTTTAAAATTAAAATTCTAATTTTATTAGAAAAAGCTGGCTCGGAGACATTATCATTTGCCCACGATCACAGAGAAAAAGGTGAAATTTGGGTCTTGGGACCAGCGTGTCTGAGCTCCCATTCCAGGTTCTAAATCAGAAGACATTCAGAATTTTGTCAGTCGTTCCAGTGACCAAGTTATATCTGCATTATCTGCACTGTATTTTGATCCTTCTTGCCTGCTGGGAAATCCCCCTGCTCCTGAGCTCCTTGTCCGTTTGTCTGTGCCTCTGGGATCACCTCCTCGCTGACAATTCTCCCTCCCCGTGTGCTGTGCTGCCTTCTTCCCCCGCCGCCCCAGTCTTCTGGGTTCTCAGGTTGCTCTCTGAAAAAGATGGTTATTTACCTAAAACCACACAAAGGAGAATTTGGGACTCCAAACTAGTGTTTCTGACTTTGAGAAAGGGAAAACTATGCTATACGCGGGGAACCACCCAACTTAGTAACTTATATTTGTACTATCTTTGCACTATCTATTGTTTTTTCGTAGTTCTTTCCTATCAGTGAGTCCCCTAGACACACCTCTACTCCTGTATTCCCCTGTTCCTGCGTCAACGTCTCTAGGAATACCCAAATTTTTGCATCCAGGACTCAATAACCTCCCAAAGGCCCAACCTTCCACCACCATTAGTGTTCCAATACATGAACTCCAGGGATCCACCCAAACTACAAGAAAACTTTCTTACTAACAAGTGTCCCCTTTCCCCTGGCCCTACGTACTGCTGTCCTTCTACAGTCACACCAGTCTCAATGAACTCAGGCCAGAACCTTTTACTGACTTAGTGTCTTCCATGTGATGTTCCTGCCATAATGTTCATGTGCTCTGGGGAATTGCATTGACTGGTTTTGCTCTCTTGTTCCACTGTTACTTTCCTACCATTTCCAACCCAAACTTCAGAGATGTCCTGAGCTCACAGAGCTGGTCCTCTGAGAGCCTGGATGGTGGGCAGCTGCTCGCTGTGCTACCAGATTGGCAGCAGCAGAAAATGGAGGGAAGGAGGCAGGAGGAAAGGGGAAGGGTGCCCTCCAATAAAAAGAATTGAGATGCATTGTGTGCATGCACCAACTCCCACGTGGAATGTAATCCTTATGTATTGCAGATATGAACTCATAAAAACAAAATTCTAAAAAAGGAAAGGATATAATGGGAGTGGGAATTTCTCTCTGACTTTCTTCCCTGGAACAAATATTCTTTGAGCTTATTCCACATCTAAACATCTATCAGATTGTACAGAAGAGATCTAGATCATGTTCCCTTCCACAAGCAAGCAATATCATGTAACGCAAGAAGATATCCTCTAGGTGAAGGGCCCCAGCTGAAATTTTTACCACATATGATTTGTCAGAGTTAAGGAAGATAATATATAAATACTCTGATTCCTTGCTATAAAGTTACCCCTATTGATTTCCATTTATTTTCTAATTTCATACTGAAAGTTTTCATCAATATACTTTGGAAGAAAGAAACACTAACTCCAAAACAAGAAACAGCAGCAAATAAAAAAATGAAAGTCAGTGATAGGCACAGATGGAAACCAATCAGCATGTCAGAATACCTGAGTAAGAATATATGCTGAAGGTTAAAGTTAAAAACTAAGAATTTGAGAAATTAGTATTCTAGAGCAGGAAAACCACTAGAAAAAGAAGACTATCACTTCAGAGATGCAAAGTACACATAGAGCCAGCTTTCCCATCAATGGAACAAAATACCTAACCCTCACAATTTAAAGGAGGAGAAATTTATTTGGAGCCCACTTTCGGAGGTTTTAGTCCATGGCTGACTGGCCCCAAGAAAGGAATATTATGGACAGGGTGCTGGAGCGAAGATGCTCACTTCATGGAGGTCAGGAATCACAGCCCAGAGGGAGGGGCCCTCAAGACACACATCATTCAAAGATACAAACCTAACAGCATATTCAGCCATGAACATCAGTGGCTAAATCTACTGATTAGTGCGGACCCCGCCCCCCACAATCTGCCACCTCTCTGGGGGTCTCTTCATCCACTCAAGTTGATGGTCAAGATTACCTGGCATACTACCCTTGATCCTTGAATTTTTAAACTGAAATTCAGGCTGTTGTGTTCTTGGGTGACAGAAAACGCCCCTTACTTCTCAAATAAGCTATCTGTTTTTTGCCTAACCTAGTTTGAATGGGCTTCTGTTGCTTGCAAGCAAAATCCATAAAGGGAAAGTCTAGGGGAAAAAAAAAAGCAAAATCAAACTAAAAACCACTACCAACTAATGAACACTCAAATGAAATTACTGGCTAGAAAGCACAATGGAAAACTATGGCAGGAAACTTTTAAAACTTTTAAAAATAAAAAGCACATAAAATGTGAAATGCTCCTAAACAGAAAAATCATAAAACAGTAAAGAAAACACGCATTCACAGGAGAGCAGACATATACCAACAAAAATTTACCAAATGAAATGATTTAAAGATGTTTTAACATGATTAAAATGTTTTAAAATTCTGTATAATTAATTACACTTTAATTCTCCTGAAACTTCAGTTTTCCTAAATCAATCAGACTATCTGTATTCTCAACCATCACCCAATGGAATTTTCTCTGTAGTTTGACAAAACTATCCCAAAGCTCATCTGCAAGAAAAATAAGGAAGTTTAGTCAGGTTTGTCTGTCCTTCAAATATTTTAAATATTGGTATAGTTAAAGCTCTTTGATACTGGATAAAGAATAGAAATGGGCATAATTATATACTGGAGTTCATCATCTGAAAGTCAAAGTAAGATAGAATGTTCAAAAGCTGATGTTAAGGCAGTTGGTACATCCTTTGAGGAAAAGTTAAAATGGTAATCATTAATTTACTTCCATCAAAAGAAGTTGTGAATTAAACATTTAGTAATAAAAAATAACGTCATTAAAGACCATAAAGCTAGGCATGGTGGTTCATGCCTACGATCTCAGCACTCTGGAAGGCTGAGGCAGGAGGATCATCAAGTATGAGCCATCCTGAGCAATTAGGAACTTAATGAGATGTTGCCTTAAATTAAAAAGATAAAAGGCTGGGGATGTTGTTCAGGGTAAAGACCCTGGATTCAATCCCAACATGGAGGAAAAAACAAAGAACAGTGAAATAGAATTCTTGACTGTGACTATAATTTGGAGGTAAGAAAGGCTTTTAAAAATCTGGAAAAAAAATACTAGAATTTGACTACACAAAAAAGAGAAAGCTTTGAGCAACCCGAAAAAAGCATGAAGTCATAACACAAATGATCAATGCAAAAATAGAAAGTATACAGGAAAAAGCTTAGCTAACTTAAATTCATATGATCATGCATTTCAGTAGGAAATGAACACAGTTTATAAAGATGTAATACACAAAAAATAAGATCAATATATATATGAAAAGACAAAGCCTCACCAATAAATGTCCACAGCACAGAAGAAATACTTTCATTAAAAACTAAAAGTAACAACTGTTACTTTATTGAAAGGAGGCATTTGTGTGGGTTAAAGTTAGGGTTAGGGTTAGGAATAGTCTCATATTCTTCTGCAGAAATGAAGACCACTACAGCCATTTGAGGAGCAATTTTTTTTGTTTTTGGTTTTTTGAGACAGGGTTTCACTACATAGTTGAGACTGACCTGTAACTCCCTACGTAGCCCAGGCTGGTCTCGAAGTCACAGCGATCCTCCTGCCTCAGCCTGCTGAGTCCTGGGATTACAGGCGTGCGCCACAACTCCTGGCTTGAGGAGCGATTGATAGTGTGTATCAGTGCTTCACCATTTCCACCTCTAATGGCATATTCCACTTTGGCGCTGGGTAACCATACAAGTGTTGAAAGCAATCGTGTTTCACAGCCACTCACAGCGGTTAACCACCGCACCCCGAGGAGCGGCAGGGGAAGGGTAATTCCTCCCGCTTCCGAGGTCTCCTGCAGAGGGAGCTACAGAGAGAGCCCTGGGCCCCACCTCCAACCACCGGGCAGGTGGAGAGAACGGGATGGGGAGAGCAGGCGAGCACAGGGGCCCTTCCCTGCCTCCCTCCCTTAGCTGAAATGCAGCAAGGCTCTGGCTTCTTCCTCTGCCCCGGGCCTCCTCTGTCTGGTCCGCGGTGAGGTGGATCCAACCGCTTAGTTCTGGGTTGTAGAAAGGTCGGCTGATACAAATCACCATCTCCAACAATAGCAATGGCAATGCTACCCCTAAGTGAAGCACTTTGCTTCTGAAGTAGCCCAGCTTTCGTATTGGAAAGAGCTGTTACATTTCTGAGACACATCAAACTGAGGTCTACGATTTGATTACAAATTTTGATTCGGTTGAGTTTATGGCAGCAAAAAGGACAAGCCGCCTGGATGTATGGGAAAGCTGAGATGGAATTTCCTGTCTACCCAAATACCAGTCACAATCATTTAATTTCTTGAAAAGCGTATCTGCTATAGGGCAAAGAGATGCAGAATAGCCCTTGGGAGAAGACAGATCAGACATATAAAAAGGTGCCTTCCTATACCTAAAATGTACTAATTACATTAATGAATTAA